CAGAAAGAAAATTATTAAGATAAATATGTAAAGAAAAATGTGACAAAACAGTAATGTTACCCTCAAAATTGTAAAAAAAAAAGTTTCAAATTTTCTATTTGGGATATTTTTTTTAAACTTTTCATTTCAAAGAACGTCTTCTTTGCTCACAATAATAAAACCAAATTCCCTTTATAGAAGTAAGGATGCTCTGAACAATTGAATAACTTTTGTTGTTGTTGAGGTGTTTTAACAGAGGACTGGTTCATTAGACGTATCTGGTTCCCTCAATATTAGCTCTTCACTTCTGGGTGATGAACCAAATTGAGCACAGATCCACAGACAGACGCTCCATGGAGTCAGCATCAGACGCTGGCCCACTTTCAGTCAATCGGACCGCAAAAGTGGAGCTCCCACGCACTGTGCGGTTACGCAACGAACAACCCCCCCAGCCGAGCATCCAAACGCTGCTCAGATGTTCTCTGCTGCTCCAAACTAACACCGTTTTTAGCAAAGTAACCTCTAGAGAGTAAGTTTAACCAAACTTCTTCATTGAAACTTCTACTTTTTCATTCTGGAAAAAAATCTAATTAAATAAGCCTTTCAAAGTATACCTTTTAATTTTCTTTCACAGCAACAGATGGATAAAAAATAAATAAATAAAACTGTTTAAAGAAAATGTGATGCCAGTGGGTTGTCATAGCAACAGTGACTGTTTAATTTTAAATTTAGTTAAACCCACACTTCCTTCTCTCCTCCTCACAAGCACAAACAGGCCACGTTTGCCTTGAAGCAAAATCACAGAGGCGATTTACCAGAGAAAGGAAACTGTCAATCTGCAGACTGCTAGAAGAGCTGAAACTAAACGTGACGTTAGATGAAACCGTTCATGAATGGTTGGCAAAGTTCCATCTGTTGTAAAATTAACAGCATCTCAAAAAATGGTCAGGGTCTGCTTTCCTGTTATGTGTCAGATGACCACCATCAGGGTTTAGGGTCAATTGAGACTAATCACACTCTACTAACAGCAAAAAACAACAAAAAAACAAATATTTTTTTCCTGTTAATACATCCTGTGAGCAAACTAAGGTTTGATGGTGCTCTTGTTAATAAACATGCGAACAAATTGATGAACTGATGCTGGCTAAATGAATCATTTATGGATCTGCATAACATAGAAATGAATTGGTCTCAGCCGGTGTTCTGTCAGATGAGCTTACCCGGTCAGACCAGCATACCCATAGTGAATACCCGTTTATCCCTTTAGTTTATTCCTTTAGTTTTGTACCAAAAATACACTTCAACTTACTTTTTGGTGTTTTTTGAAGCGTATGGTGATCTGACCTTAAATTGTTTTTTTTTTTTCTTTACATGACTAAAGGGATGAACACCCGTTGAGGTAGTTCAAAGCCTATTTTTCATTAAAAAAACTAACGTGATAAATGCAAATCTGACGTCTTGCGCATGCATATCGACTATAGGTATGCTGGTCTGACAGGGTATGCTGATCTGACAGAACATCCAGTTTGTTTATCTCAACAACTAGTTCTGTAAGAGCAGGAATCTGTGTTTTGTCTGCTTTGGTGTTACAGTATTATTTGCTAATTCATGTTTATTACTGAAATACTAAAAATAAAAAATGTTAAATTAGTTAGGACATTCCACTTGAAAGTATCACTGCTTCCACCGAATCTTTTAGAGGAGAAATGTTTGTGCTATACCAGGTGAATCACCAGCACATGGGAACAACATATTATCTGATAATAGGGTATAAGACAAAAATGTTTCTGACTATTTTATTGGACAATACTAGTATTGTTTAGAAAATACTGCTTGTTGATCTTAAAGAATAAAAAATATTTATAGGAAAATATACAACTTTTTATATAAAACTCTTATACCTCCAGCCACTAGTTGGCAGCACACTGCCTCAGGGCCTATTATTCAGTTTGCACTCACCAAAGCTGAGCAACCAGCTCTCCCAAGGTTTCCTAGAGCTATATTATTAAGAAAATCACAATATATCGTCATTGCTAATGTATATTTGTATATATCATGATGAATTGTACCATCACATACATCTTCATCCTTTTCTTATCGTTATATTTTTGCAGTTTTCACCCCTACCTGAAAGTGGGTTCTGCTTATAGGCAGAAGTCTACCTATTCTTAACTGAATTCAGTTTATTTATATAGCACCAATTCACAACACACATCATCTCAAGGAACTTTACAGTTCACCAGATCATCCAGTCAAATTGATTCAAAGTCTGTTTAAAGTTTACTTAATTCCTTGGTTAATAAATT